ATATATATATATATATATATATATATATATATATATATATATATATATATGTGTGTGTGTGTGTATGTATATGTATGTATATGTATATGTGTATGTATGTATGTATGTATGTATGTATATATGTATATAGTTCCGTACATCACGGAACTCAGGAGGTTGCACCACAAAACCTCAGGATGTTACAACACAGTCAACGACCCAGGAGATTACAGCACAAGACCCAGGATGTCACAACAATAGAACTCAGAAGGTCATCACAAGCCCATTACCCAGGTCGTTACAACACAGGAGGCTGATAGACACAAAGCCAATAACTCAGCCACACATGTTCTTACAAAAAGCCAACCAATCTGCAAACATCACACACACACACACACACACACACACATCCATGCACCCATACATCTATATCTAGTTTAAACACTGATCATATATTAACTCGTCCTTCAGTATAATTTTCAGAAAAAATATGTCCCCCCCTCTCTCTCCCTCCCTCCCTCCCCCCCCTCTCCTTCCACATAGATTTGTGACTTCAAGAAGACAGATGCTAATGGAAACCATTCAATGCTGCTGTCCATACTATGGGGAGATCAGTTCTGGCAGATCTCACAAGCCCACTTACGAAGAAATCAGCAATGAATTTATTTTACATCCTACCTAGTCAAGCGCAGGACTTAACAGGAAATTGCTTGGAAAGAAGGATTCTGTTGCACCTGCTTACAATTCTAACAGTGCAGCCCATTCTCTCTGTATCCTTGATCTAAATCTCAGATTTGCTGAAAACATCTTGAGAACTGTTCCTACAGCTTTATTCTGGATTCACATATTGTTTCTATTTGTGTACTGACAGATAATGACGGTAGATCACACAATCTATCATCAGAACATCACTGAAGATAATGAAAGGAAAGTAATTTGTCTTTCTGTTTCATTCCCTGTCTGTTGGAGAATCTAAAATCACAACCAGCCAGATTTTCAAAAATATTCCAGTACAAAATACTCATTTGAATATAAAGAATCAACATGAAAGATTAACATGGCAGATGAAGCAAATAGACTAAGACCTGACCTGTCAATAAAATAAATGGTTTCTTTTTAAGCATTACTGTAACTATTGGAAGATCCATGGAGTTGCTGGTAATTCGTACTAGGAATATCTGGTGAGACCATTTCCCAGAAGTGAGATCCATTATTCCTTACTTTGAATTCTCTATGGCATGGAGCACATTGTTAGAAATTTTACTAAATTCCAATATTTGACTCTCTCAGCAGGTACAGTTAATTGCATTTAAAAGAATTATTAGCAAAGTGTATTTTCTTTTGGAAATTCATAATGTCGATATTGGAATTAGCAGTGCTTGATTCAGATCTGGGGCTGCAATGTATCAGAATTTCTAGGATCTGCTTTGTACGTTTAAGAAAAACAGATCATCTTGGCTTTCCGGAGAAGATCAAGAGATGAAGCTATAGGGCAAGAGCTAAGGCAGCCACCATATGTGTGCCAAATGCTTTTCTGTGGCTGGCTGGAGGAGAACACTGTGTACTCATCAATCTTGGATGTAGAAAAACAGCTGGATGAATTGTGGAAGAACCTGCTTGGTTACTTTTGTGGTTTAATTAGTTTTAACACAGCTGCTGTGAAATCAACTTCAGATGTATTTTTTCAAACATTTGCTCCGGCCTAAATATAGCAGTACATGGTTATTTCTTCTTTACAAATAACAAAAATCCATTATTTTCTAGATTTCTTATCTTATCACTAACTTTCTTCTCATAAGGCTCCCCTGCTTACTTTTGCCATTATATTAACACAGACAATTATTTCAGGCTGAGAGGCAACAATTGGCTTAAATACAAGCATTTGACACAATGCCGTGTATGAGATCTGTACATAGGTCTCTCATTCTCATCCCACATCTACATCTCATTGGCTCTTGCACATCTTTCCTTTTAACTCCAGTTGTGCATTCTCTTAGGTTTCACAAAAGAATTACATTTGCTCCAATTTCCAAACCAAATATGTACTGTATGTTCTCATAACCACAATCTTTGACGTGCAGTACTACAATTATTTTCCTGGAAATATACATGTTTAGGATTACATTTATTGTGCAAAGATGCATGTATAAGGGTATATGTCTGTAAGACATGATTGACAATCATTTAATGTTTTCATTTATTAAAAGATGCCCCTCAATAATCAAGAAGCCGATTAATCTGCTGAGTTATTAATCTGCTATCTGATTAAATATTAATTGCTGTAGATGGAAGTTCTCACAAATCTTAACAGTAGCTAGCATTTTTAGAATAGATAACCTTCCTCTCACTGAGCAGGGAATATTTTCCCCAATCTCCAGCCAGCTCTGGCAGGGAGCTTTTTAAACTAAGAGGTATTGTTTCCTACCCTTTATTAGTGCACATGTATACAAGCTGTACATCATGTATCCATTTTCTGTGAATATCTGTATCCATTTTCCTAAACTCCATGGGAGCGTGTGATTTTCACCAGTATTAATAAATCACACAGAGAGATTAAGGTACTCTTAAGTGACCATCAGCTTGAATTTCCTCAGCCAAGTTCTCTATTGTGCTGTCCAACTCTCAGCATCATTGGAGCTGTTTTTAGGATTTTGTTAAAAAAGTCCAAATATAGGTGGTGAGATCCCTCTTAGTCCTGCCAAACTCTCTTCTGCAATATTTTCTCAAGCACAAACAGCCTCAACCTTTGTGCAGGATGAGTGGTTGACTGAGAGAGAAGATTAGAAAGACATAACAGGGGGAAATAAACAACAGCAACAAGAACAAGTGGACTATAGAAATTTGAAAGGGCTTGATCATTCTGGACTGAGGGACTGATTACAGCTAAAGCATTTGCTTTCTATAAAAGTATACCCTCTAGAGATAGTTAAGCAAATCTATTCTCTTCTTTTCTAAAGCGGTTTACTGCTGGAACAAATTGGACACAGTAATATCCCTCCCCACAATCTTCCTACAGAAATATGATTCGTCGCAAGATAACATCCTTCCAAGTCCCACAATGCATCCATGGATAGCAAGACAGAAGGAGAAAGATAGCCGCTGTCATTTTCCTGAAATGATAGGGTTTGTTTTTAAAATACTGAAAAAATGGGAAACTGAAGAGAAATATCTAAGTCTCACTGCCCCAAATTTAACTTTCTATGTCATCATCTAGCCAGTCAGATCAAAACCATATATAAACTTTTTCAATCAGGTGCAAAAATGGGGAAACCCTTCCAACATGATATGCCAGTTTTTTAAAAAAATAGTCCTGTTCTAGCATTACAGCATGTAAATAATGGTAAATAGCTCCTTCTTTTGTAAACCTTCTAGAATTCATCTGGTGAGTTGTAGTGAGTGTCCTTCAAACTTCTCAGAAGTTATTTTTAAAATGCTACTTTAATTTGAATGTACTTTGAAAGGAGCAAGACCTCAAAAATGCACATTTTTGCACAGTTCTTAATTTAATTCAAGTTTAATACTCCACCCTCTTAGTAAAAACCAGTTGGTCATGCCCCTGTCAGAATCTGATTCAGAGGGGGAGGCCGAGGAGCTGACAGGGAGTGGGAGTGTGGCTCCATTGGCTGTGGAAGAAACTGGGGAAGGCAAAGTCTGGCTGGGCAGAACAGGGGAGAGGAAGAGCAAGGGAGAGGGGGTTCGGAAGAGGACCCAGACCTCCCCCCTTCATCCTAAGGCACCCAGAGAGGAATGGAGAAGGGAGCAATGTGAGTTGCATGGCTTCTGGGGCAGGAAAGGGCCCTGATTCCCTTCATTAGCTGCAGCTGGGAACACAGTGTTTAAAAAGGGAAGCTGCGCACAGCAAGTTGTTGGGAGCAAATCGTGAATTATGGTTTCGTCAAGGCTTATCTGTGTTCCTGGTGTCTTCCCAACTGTGTGCGTTTTGCTGTGCTTTCAAGTCTGCAATTCCTTCTCCTGCCCTGTCAGGTTAATTACTGCAGCGTGGTTTGTTTGGATTTTTAGTTACAGTTGGTGTGTACTTTGTTTTCAGACTGAATTTCCTCCACTTAAAGACTGTTCCTGGGAGAGTTTTTCTCCAGCCGAAGATAACCTGGACATTGGGGGAAAAGTTGGAGATAATAAAGGGTCTCTTGCTTATTTGACTGTGTTGCCTTTGTGCCACGCCCTGGGTCATCACACAGTTAATACTCTTAGGCAACATGAAACGTAGGAGAAATTTCATCAGCATCCTTCTCGTTGGTCCAGCAATGTGTTGACAGGCAGACTTATTCCACCCCCTTTACCCCTCTTGCTCTTTCCATACATGTATCCGTAAGTGGGGAAAACAGTCTTTAATGATCCTTTTTCCATCTGGTAAGATGCAAATGCCAGTTTTCAATTCTGACAGTAATACATTAGGAAGATGACAAGCTAGAAAAAAGATGTCTCCTTCTGTATGCCACTCTCATCCTAATATGTAATAGAGAAGCTTTTCTTTTTTATTAACAATGATGACAGCAGATTGAGAGATCTGCTCTGCTCTCTTCTCATTTTAGCCCCTTTTGTCTGTTTCTGCTAGGCTAGTATCTTTTACAGTGATTGGCTTTGGCTGTTTTGTACTGCAGAGTAAATTATTTTATAATGATCTAATATCGATATATCAATGGAATTATTTATTGATGGAAGCACAGCATTTTGCATTTATAGCTAGGCAAAATCATTCCAGCCTGGATCCCATGAGAGCAAATTGGGATCTTCTGCTCCCACTGGATCTACAGGAGTGATCAATTCCTTCTTGTATTTATGCAGGGTGATTGGGAATAAATCCCTACGCCCACCACCTCTCTCTCCTTCCTGTAAAACTGACCATAAATTCACCAGAAATACAGACTTCTTGGTATGGAGGCTGCTGCCACTGCTATTGCATTTCCTGGATTGATCATGTGACCATAGCATTTAAAAAAAAAAAGGTGAAAGTTTTCCCTTTCCAGTAGGGTGCAGTGCTCACCTCCGTTTCTCAACCAAGGTAGCCGGTAGTGTCCAAAGACATTTCCATGGTCATGTTGCCAATATGACTATACACCAAGGTACACAGGAGGCTGTTACCTTCCCACCAAAGCGACACCTATTTATCTACTGGTATTCACATGCTTTCAAATTGCTAGGTGGCATGGCTTGAGCTTCACCAATGAACCGTAAATGTTTCTCTTTGGAAAAACTCCCCACCTCACTCCTTTGTTGTTGCATTACGAAGCCTCCACCAGGATGCTATCTGATTGCTACGCTGCTTGAGAACACGTTTGTAGACACTTGTTCCGGGTTCTGTTAATAAGACAAGCAAATCATTGTCAAGATAAGATAAAGACCAAGATAAACTGTGAGATAGAACAACCCGCTGCATATATGCTGTAGTCATGTTGTTCTGTATGTTCTAGCAGGGAGGGAGCAGCAATGTAGAATACTTGAATAATTGCTGGAATATCCAGTGAGCCAGATGAGCAAGCCAGCATAAAATCAATTGTACGTATCCGGGGATAAAAGCACTGTCCCTTGAAGACAGTTCACTGAGTCTCTCCACCTTCTTCTTTTTTTTTAATGACAACTGCAATTCATTGCCTTCTACCTGAACTTCAGCTTCTCTTAGCTATAATTAAGCTGTGTAACTAATGGGCATCCTACTGATTCGAAAGAGAACAAAGCTCCAATGTCATGTCATCCTTTTGTATGGCATGAATGTTAACAATTTGGGTACAATCTGTTGCATATTGAAACATCTGAACAATCACTTTGTTTGTCACAGTAATGAGCATGATGTAATAGTTGATAGGGAGGCATTGCCAATATGTTTGAAGAAACAGCTTTTCTGGTCTTTTGGAATGGGGGAGGGGAAGAATTATGTGAATCTGTTATTCTGATTACCAAAACTCCAATGAAGGCAAGTTGGACCCTTTTCCTTCTCATTTAGAAAAACTATCTTTCATGCTTATGGTATAATCTAGGGCGAACAGGCAACAATATAAATTCAATAAATGATAATAATTTATTTACCCAAAGATCATTTCCACCAGGTTTTTCAACTGATGTTAAAGTTTTGTTCTCTTTATTCCTTAGTCATAGTGCTTTTTAGATATTGTTTAAAAAATAATTAAAATAAATAGCATATCCCACAAAAGCGCTAATTTGATATATTGTGCTGTATATAATATATAAAAATGGGTATATAGTGAGTCCGCAGCATACAAAATAATATATGGAGAATTCAGATCAAGTTGGACCCATTCATTTGTTTGAAAGGGGATTAAAATTTGAAAAGGGAGGAGCATTACAACTCATGAACAGTCCATATAATTTAATGGGATTCAATCAATGAGCCTCTTTAGGGCTATGTAGTTGTTACTTTCATGACACAGTGTCATGAAAAAGTCAGCTCTAACAATACAATACATTTTTCACTTTGCCATCTCCTCCCCTCCTCCCCAGTTTCATTGTACCTTTCCATTAATACTTGAAGTGCTTCTGATCATATTATCTCTGGCTTCACATATCAATACCAATTCTTTTGTTTTGCAGGCTATTTCCTCTCCCATCATTCTCAATTTTAAGTGAAAGCGCTACACTTTCAGGCCACCACTTACCTTTGTAAATAGGTTTCGACACTTTCCATGTTGAACTTGAAACTTCTCCCCACTGCCACCACTACTTTTTGAGAAATCTGTTTATTGCAACGTATTCGGTGGCTGCTTTCTCACTGTTCTGATGTTCTTGTTGTCAGTACGCCATGAAATCTAGGGATCTTTTTGCCTTGAGTATTGCTCGTTCATTTGTTTATTTAGGTGTCCCTTGAGCATGGGTTATAGAAAAGACTAGAATATGGAAACATTCATATATTGCTACTCTCCAGCAGGGTCACATTAAAACTCTTGTGGACCTTTGGCACACATTTCTTTTTTGGTTGTTATCATGGCAATAAACCAAAGGCTTATTTCCTCACCCTATATTCTTCAATAAATCAAAAATATAAATCACAGTAGGTATATACAACTGATACATTACTAATAATATCTTAAATATATTTAATGTTAGCATATAATGTATTTTTATGGTTACTTTTTGATATATAGTTTTAAAAGTTAAAAATTTTTGTGTAGCCCATGACGTTTTATAAGGACAAGGCATGAATGATATAGGTATCTCTGTCTTTTCTATATTCCATGTTCAAAAGCAATTTTCTACCAAATTTTAACCAAATGCAAATGCATTTTCTCAAGAAACAATGCCAGAAAATACACAAAGCAAAATAGTAGTATGGCTGGGTGAACAACTCTTGATTTTATGTATCAAAATGCATATTTAGGTTATTGGCTAAACCTGTTTTTTTGTGTGTATGTACGGTATCACAGGTATAATTTCCAGATTTATAGACATGCTTAATACTACCTGGCAGTTCAGTCATCACATAGCACCTGTGTTATCTGTTACCTGTTATTGAAAGTATATCCACCTAAGGAATTTCAAGGAGAGTTGATAGAAACTCTATTGGACTTTAGATAAATCCAGGTTTAGTCCACTTAGATGAAACAGCGATGCTGTTAAGAATGGCTGGGAGGGGGAGGGAAGACACTGCTGTCCTCCAGCCTTATGCAAGCTTTCTGCTTTTCTACAGTTGCTAGCAGGGAGCAAGGAGATCTCTGCCCACTGTCCAGTGGATAGAAGCAAAACGGGCAAGGCCCTTGGCCTTTTGCAGGATAAGTCTAATCTTGATTCACTCACTTATTAGTAGCATTAGGTGAATGGATGAAATTATATATTGCCTTAGGTCCGGGGCAATGCTCACTGAATACTTATGGAACTGTGGTACACTGTCTGTCAAGGATTCCTGGAAACCAGAAAATAAGTCCTATAGGACAAATCTTTTAAAAGCTCCAAAACAATTAGCATTTGCATTGATAGCCTCAAATTCCTTTTCCCAATGAGGAGGAGGAGGAGGAAGAGAAGAAGAAGAAGAAGAAGAAGAAGAAGAAGAAGAAGAAGAAGAAG